GGGACCCCCCAGATTTTGGGACTCCCTGGACTCTGGGACCCCCCAGATTTTGGGACTCCCTGGACTTTGGGACCCCCCAGATTTTGGGACTCCCTGGACTCTGGGGGTTCCTGGATTCCTGGGACTCCCCAAAACCCTGGGACCCCCCCTGGACTTTGGGACCCCCCAGATTTTGGTTCCTCCCCCCCAAATGTCCCTCCCTCTCCCAGCACCGGCGGGACCTGGAGGAGGAGCTGCGAGACCTCAGTAACCAGGTGGGCGGGGCTTGGGGCTGTCAATCACATCGTTGGGAGGGGCTTGGGACTGTCCATCACCCTGGTGGGTGGAGCAATGAACTGTCAATCATCCGGGGGGGACAAGGGGCTGCCCATCACCCAGATGGGGGCGTGGCCTGTCCCATGTGAGCTGTCAATCACGGTCCTCCCCAATCAGGTGGCGGCGCTGGGGCGGAGCCTGGCAGCAGAGAGAGGGCGTGGCCTGGTGGAGGGCGGGGCCCTGCGTGCGCTGGAGATCGCTGTGGGTGGGGCCCAGGCCCGGATGGGCGGGGCCTGCAGGGCCAGGGACCGGGCCAATGAGAGACTGCGGCTGCAGCAGGTGGGCGAGGCCAGGGAGGGGGTGGGGTCAGATGGGGCGGGGTCTATGACAGGTGTGGCTGTGGGTGGGGCTAAAGAGGTGTGGTCTGAGGGGTGGCTGGTGAAATGGGGTGGGACTTAGAAAAGTAGGTGGTGCTTTGTGGGATGTGGGTGTGGTCATGGGAGGGTCCTAAGGGGGTGGAGCCTCTGGTGGGGGTGTGGCTGAATTTGGGCTATATCCGCGTGGTCTGAGGGGGCGTGGCCTGGGGGGGGGAGGAGCCTCTGAGAGGGTGGAGGCCTGGCTGAGGTGGGGCTAAAGGGGGCGTGGTCGATGGGTGTGGCCTGTCCCTGACCCGGCCCTATTTGCAGGAGGCGGGGCAGCTGCTGTGGGCGGAGCTCCAGGCTGCCCGTGCTGCCCGTGCGGGGGCGGAGCTTCGGGCGCAGGAGGCGGAGTCGCAGTGCCGGGAACGGGGGGAGGAGCTTCAGCGGCTGCGAGAGGTGGGCGGGGCCAAGGGAAAGGGCGTGGCTAATGATAAATGGGCAGGGCTAAAGAACAAAGGGGCCAGGCTAAAGGGCAGGGGGGTGTGGCTAAGGTCCAATGGGTGTGGCTGAGGACCAATGGGTGGGGTCAAGGACTGATGGGTGGGGCTAAGGATCAGTGGGCAGGGCTGAGGAACAATGGGTGGGGCTATATCAGCCTATGGGTGGTGCTGGGGTGGTGGGCGTGTCCCCGGTGGGCGTGTCCATGCCAGCCCCGCCCCCAGGCCGTGGAGGAGGCCCGGCAGTGCCGGCGCCAGGCGGAGCAGGAGCGGGACCGAGCAGCTGCTCAGGTGGGACACAGCCCCCGGCACAGGTGAGTGAGGGCACACCCCTCTCCGGACACGCCCCTTCCTGGACACGCCCCTTGCGTGTCCCCTACAGCCCCTCCACGTGTCCCCTGTAGTCCCCGGTGTCCCTCTATCCCGTATTCCCCCATATCTCCCATCCATCCCCTATACCCTCCCATGCCCCCCCATGTGTCCCCCCCACAGCCCCCCCCCCGCTGACCCCGAGGGGCTGCAGGCGGCGCTGGAGGAGCTGCGGGAGCACAACCGGGGGCTGCAGGACCACCTGGGACAGCGGCTGGGACAGGTGGGCACCTGTGGGGCACCTGTGGGGCACCTGTGGGGACTTGGGAGGGATATGAGGGGATATGGGGATGTGGGAAGTGGGATATGTGGGTGCTGAGCTCACCCGAGGGTGCTGTGGTCTCACCCGCGGGTGTTGTCTCACCTGCCCAGGTGCAGGAGCTGCGTGAGGCGCTGTCCCTCGCGGGGCAGCGGGCGCGGGAGGCCCAGGGTGCCCAGGCCCGGCTGGCGCGGGAGCAGCGGGAGCTGCAGGAGCGGCTCCTGCGCCCCCCGGTGCCCCCCACGCCCCCCGAGAGCACCCTGAGGAGCCGCTGCCTCCACCTGCAGGAGCTGCTGCGCAGGGAGGAAGGGTGAGGGGGGACTGGGGGGGATTGGGTGGTGCCCACATGGCCTCAGGATGCCCCCAAAATGGGTTTGGGCAGCCCCAGGGCGGTCTTGGGTGGCCCCAGGTGATCCAGGGTGACCCCAAAGTGGGTTTGGGTGGTGCTGGGTGGTCTCAGGGGGGCTCAGGGGGATCCCAGTCTGGCTTGAGGTGACCCCGAAGTGGGTTTGGGTGGCCCCAGGGTGGCCCAAGGTGGTCCCCAGACGGTCCCAGGGGGGTCCCCAGACGGTCCCAGGGTGAGTGTCACTGGCTGTGGGTCACTCTGGAGGTGACATGGGGTGACACTGGGTGTCCCGGTGGCCCCTGGGGTGTGGGTGGCCCCGTCCCGGGTGCCATGGGGTGCCACTGGGTGACATTTGGTGTCCCTGTGTCCCCCCAGGACCCGGCTGTCCCTGTCACGGGCCGCGCGTGTCACTGGCCGGCGCCTGCGGGCTCTGGTGGCCGAGGTGGAGGAGCAGCGGCTGCGGGGGGAGAGATACCGGCTGCAGGTGGGGGGCACCTGTCACCCGTGTCACCTGTGTCACCCGTGTCACCTGTGTCACCCGTGTCACCCCTGTCACCCTGTGACCCCACAGCCTCTGTGCCCGCCCACGTCCTCCCTGTTCCCAAGTGTCCCCAACTGTCCCCTGTCCCCAGTGTCCCCGTGTCCTGTCCCCCTGCGCCCCCGGGTCCTGTGTCACCGTGTCCCCACGTCCCAATGCCAAATGCCATCACATCCCCTTGTCCCCACACCCCATGTCCCCGTGTCCCCAGGCCCGTGCCAGCGAGGTGGCCGCGGGGCTGGTGGCGGCGCAGGTGGCGGCGGTGGCGGCGGGCACGGCG